TGCCCCAAATGAGCAAACATCGTCGATTTCCGATAGAAACCAATATTTTTGGCGCGTTCGCCTTTTGTGCTCGGGATCTTGAGTGATTCGGACGCCATCAAGTCGTAACATGCCCGCAGGCCTTTTGTTCGAGCTGCGTTGGAGGAAAAAGAGCCCCAAGATACGCTTTCCCCGCGCATCCGCGTAACTTCCGCCATGGTAGCGGAGAGCGTGGTTCTGTGGTGAACTACGCAGATCAGATCCACGGGGAGACTGAGGACGTGCGCTGCCCATGGCAGCGGCGCCCAGGGAGCAGCTGGTGGATTGCAGAGGCGACGTCAAGCTGCCAGAGTTCAGTCGCAGAGATGAGGACAGGCCCAGCTGGTCCATCAAAGCCCACGCGTTCTTCGCGCTGATGGGCTGGGATGGCCTCGTCGACAACGTTGAGGCCCAGCCAGCGCTCGCGGTTGACAACGTCAGCATGGGCGAGCGCGCGGCAGCGACGAGCAAGCTGCTGCACGCCATGCTGATCACCAAGACTCAGCGCAAGGCGCTGGCGATGGTTGCGCTCGCAGGCAGGCGCGAGGGTTTCGTCGCCTGGCGGGCGATCAAGAACGAGTATGAGCTTGGGGCGGGCAACAGGTTCGCAGCCATGCTCAGCGGCCTGCTCAACCCCAGGTGGGACGACCAGAAGCCGTTTGCCGACCAGCTTGTTGACTGGGACAACGACGTGGCGAGGTGCGTCATGCAGGCGGGGAAGGACTTCGGCGATGAGTTTCGCATCGCCACTCTGCTCGCCCTTGGCCGCGAGCCGTGCAAGACCGTGCTGCGCAACGCTCCGACGGCCGCCAAGGTCTCGCACATGGCGCTAAGGACCCACCTGAGAGAGTGGATGGCGTCGGGACAGGTCTTCGCAGCAAGCGGCAGGGTGGATCGAGGCGTGGCGCCGGTGGAGATCGGCGCGATCTCGGGCCATGCCCTGCCGCAACAGCCTTGGCCCAAGCGCAAGGGCGACAAGTCGGGGGGGGCCAGGGTGACAAGATGAGCGGCAAGGGCGACAAGGGCGGAAAATGCAGCAAGAAGGGAGTCAATAATGACGAGCTCAAGGGCAGCTACCCCGCCAAGTTCGAGGGAACCTGCAACTGGTGCCAGAAGCAGGGGCACAAGGAGAAGGACTGCTGGCACAAGGCGGCTGGCAAGCCACGGGCGCCGTCGGCAGCGCCCCCGAAGGCGGCCGCAGTCCAGCAGGCCCTTGCGGGCGCTGGGGGCCAGAGGAACGTGAGCGCGGTGGCCGCGGGCTCCGGCGGCGACGAGGTCGGCTGGGTCTTTGGAGCCAGGAGCTCGGCCGGAGGCCGCCGCAGGGAGGAGCGCAGAGGGCTCATCCTCGCAGACAGTGGCAGCGACGAGCACCCCTGCGGCCAGGCGTTCGGATCACGGCATCCAACGGTCCAGGAGGACCCCACTGCGCCCAAGCTCACCACGGTGAGCGGCCAGAGGCTTGGCGCCGAGGGGCCCCGTAGGATCCCGATGGTCGTCGGTGGCGAGAAGGGTCGCCAGCCATGCTTGGGGAACCTCAGAGTGAGCAACGACCTCGCCCGTCAGGACGCGGTGCTCAGCCTCGGGAAGCTGGCGCGCAAGCGTTTCAGTTTTGTCCTTGAGGAGAGCGACCCGCGCGCCGTGAACCTCAAGACGGGCGAGCGGGCGGACATGAAGCTTGTATATGTATATGTATATATATATATATATATGTATGTGTATATATATATATATATATATATCCGAGTAGCAGGGGCCATGGCCGATGTGATCTGGAGGGGTTTCCGGCCTCCGTTGTAACCTTCTTTGGCCCTGCTGGTGTGGCCCAGACAGGTGCCCGGCCCTGGTTGCAACCTGGCGTTGCCCCCCCGGTGCTCGCCCGTCTGGCCCGCAGGGGAGCCCGTCCCTCGTTGTAGCCAGGCGTGGCCCTCGCCTTCTCTCAGATCGAGGCTCACTTTGATTTCAGAACTGACCGTTCTGGCCCGCGCAGGGCTGATGGCTCTCGCTGTAACCTGGTTCGGCCCTGGCGCGCGGAGCCCCTCGGGAGTGTTTCCGGCTCTCCCCGACGCCTGGGCAGCCGCCCGGGTGCCAGGAGGGAGACCGATTGTCCGAGGGTCCCCACATGTCAAGAATCCTTTTTGAGTTTTGCGCACTTGTGACCTTCTCGATTTGTGATGGTTCGACGAGGGCCTCGGGCGAGCCGACGAGGGGCCAAAACCTTCAAGAGACTCCTGCGAAGGCCTAGGCCAGCCTGCAGGTCCCCCGCCGGACCCCCGATCTCAATGTTGAGGCGGCTGCGACCGACGGCAAACAGATACGTACAGAATCGCGCGCCGCCCCTGCGTAAACATTGAACTCGAGGGGTTCGGGGGGACGGATCACGCGCAAGAGCTACACGCGCCCAAACGGACCCCAAGAAACTTTCAAGACTCCTGAGATGGATTGGGCCAGCCCACGAGGCCCCCAAGCGGGTTCCCCGAGGAGCCCCAGATGGCCCATGATGGCCTTAGGAGGGCCCCATAACGGCCTCAAGATGGCACAGGACCGCCTCAAGGTCCCCAAGAGGGCCCCATGACGGCCCCACGAAAACCCAAACTGTCTCATCATGAGGCCCTTAAGACGGCTCTAATACTGCCTTCAGACACGAAGACGGCCTCACAGGGCCTCAGAGGAGAAGGATGAGGATGCGGAGGAGTAGGAGCAAGAGGAAGAGGAGGAGAAGGCGGATTGTAGCGTAGCGTTGCTGCCTTTGGGGGTCGGCATAATTTTGTATGTGTGGGTTGGGAAGGGGCACTTAGGTTGTCCCATCCTTGCATGTCGGTGCTGGTGAAGGTTGGGAAGTCCCACCAGGAAGAGGACACGGACGAGGAGGAGGAGGAGGAGGAGGAGAAGGCGGACGGGAACGGGAACGGGGAGGAGGAGGGAGGAAGCGGACGAGGAGGAGAGGGGGACGGGGATGGGGACAGAGAGGAGGAGAGGGAGAAGGAGTGGAAGGGGAGGAGAGAGATGGGGGAGGAGGGAGGATGAGGTGGAGCCGGAGGCTCCCTCGTCCCTCCGTTTTTTTCTTCCCTCCACAGTGTCCACAGTGAACTCAAAATACAAGCTCATTCTGCTTCATCCTGAGACCGGCATGCTTCATCCTGAGCACGGCATCGAAAAATCCCACCCTTGAGCGAGCGAGCTTTTCTCCCTTCTCGTCCTCCTCATTCTCACTCGAACCTCCTTCTCGCTCCAGCCTTCCCTCTCGCTCCCTTCCCCTTCCTCATCATCCCTCCTGTCTTCTCGCCATACCCCTCTCGCTCGATGGCCGAGTTGCGTTGTCGGGTGCATCTGAGGCTGATGAGTGTGAACGCAGTCGCCCCAACCGAGGAGCCGGTTTCGGTTTCGATCCGTGCCGTGCGTGTGGACGAGGCGAAGGTGCGCGAGGCTGGGGCGAAGTCGTATAACAAGTTCCCTTTCCCCACCAGTCCCGCGGTGCTTCGCGGTTGTCCCACGGATGTTGCGTGGTTGTCCCGCTCCAGTCCCACGGTGCTTCGCGGTTGTCCCCAGGCTGTCCCGCGAAATGCATCGAAGGATGGGCGATGAGACCGAAGGGACCCCAACTGGGCGGCTGTAGCAGTCTGTCTCATGCCCCTGGTGGGTGACACCCGTCGTTTTCCTCTGGCCCGGCCGGTTGCTCAGTCTGCAAAGGCCTCGCCTTCGAGGGATCGAGGAGTTGGCTCCTGCTCTCTCGGCGGAGGGTCAGGGCAAAGGCGACGGGCATTGAACAGGGGCGGCCCAAAAAATGCGCCCCCGAGAGATGGCAACATTTCTGAGCGCAGGACTTCAGGGCCGCCATCTGCGAGACCTCCAGCTCGCCCGGGGCGGGGCCAGGACCAGGATACATCGCCCGAGAGCTGACCAGAGCGCGCTTTCAGAGCCTCCCGGGAGCTCTGAGAGGGCCCCTTGTCCAAGTGGTCCCTGTCCTGGCTTCGTGTCACCGCTGCGGAAAAGCCCCAAGGTCGGAGGCCTAGAGGTTGACACCAACACCAATATCGGCGCTGTGCCTCCACCGAGGGAAGAGTATCCCAATGTCGGTGATGGTGGTAATATATTCTGGCCTCCTGGGCGGCCGAAAGATTACCACCAACACCGAAATCTAGGACCACCTTCCTCTGGTGGAGGCAACCCCCTGTGTTGGTGTTTCTAGGCCTCCTAGATGGGGTCCGAGTAGATGGTGTCGAAGGATCGCGCCGCATCGCCGATGCATCGACGATCTGGCTCTATGTGGAGCCCGTGTTTCCCCATGCCGACGCCGCCGAGGCATCGCCGATGTCGCCGATGCATCGCCGATGCATCGCCGATACCTCATCGATGCATTGGCGATGCGGCGTGGTCTTTCGACCCCATCTACTTGGACCCCATCTAGGAGGCCTCTAGTGTTGGTGTCCATTTCCAAGCCTCCAACAGGGGCGACGCGCGCGCGCGGCCCGCGCGCGGAGCAGCGTGGCCCACGGCCCGGGCGGTGCCCCACGCGACCCGCGAGCGAGCGGAGCGCGCCCCCGGGCGGCGTCCGAGGAGCTCCGCCCGCGGCGCGCGCTCGCGCCCCCCCGCCTGGAGGAGGAGGAGGAGGAGGAGGAGGAGGAGGAGGAAGAGGAGGAGGAGGAGGAGGAGGAATCGGAAGAGGAAGAGGAGGAGGAGCCTCGCGTCGGCCTCGCGCGGCGGGGGGGGGCGCACCGCGCTCGCCAGGAAACCGAGGCGGAGTTACGGTCGGGGCCCCGAAGAAGGAGCCCATTTTGGTTGGGGAGGGGCTCCGCGCTCCTTCAGCATTTCACAGCCTGCCTCGGGTTTTCCTGATGCTTTCGGTAGGGAATCGAAGTTTAACTGACTGAAAAAAGGGGCCTCGTTCCTTATTTGGGGTTCCTTAGGTCAACGCCTCGACTGTAGGCTGAGGGAGAGCGGTGTGCAGAGTTGCCCTTGCAGACGTTATCGCGTTGCCCGATCAGGCGCTCACGCAGATCAAGCTGGAGGCGAAGGAGAGCTAAGCATCTTTGGCTGCGTGTCAGGATGAGGAGCTCGAGGAGGACATCGAGGAGGTGGAGGGGGCAAGTGCAGATCTCCGTGTCGCCACGTATGAGCAGAGGAGAATAGCACGACATGTGGCCCGCGTGAAGGCTGCACACCACATATCCGTAAGGGCTTCGCCCCCCTGCCGCCGGCCCCTCTCTCGGAGAATGGGCCATGGAAGAGCGAAGTCATGAGGCTTTGGCTTCGCCGTGAAGCAGTGTCGGGACCTGTTTGTTTTTCGACCCTGACCCTACGGATCTGCGTGAGGGGTGCCGCCGAGTTTCAGAAATGTGGCAAATCCTTTGTGTTTCTGGACCCTGACCCTACGGATCTGCCTGAGGGGTGCCGCCGAATTTCAGAAATGTGGCAAATCCTTGTTGTTTTTGGACCCTGACCCTGCCGATCTGCGTGAGGGCAACCACCGAATTTCAAACATGTGGCACATCCGTTATGTTTTTGGACCCTGACCCTGCCGATCTGCGTGAGGGGTGCCGCCGAATTTCAGAAATTTGGCAAATACCAGGAGATTTTGCACCCTGACCCCGCCGATCTGCGTGAGGGGTGCCGCCGAATTGTTGAAATGTGGTAAATCCATTGTGTTTTTGCACCCTGACCCCGCCGATCTGCGTGACGGGTGCCACCGAATTTCAGAAATGTGGCAAATCCTTTGTGTTTCTGGACCCTGACCCTGCCGATCTGCGTGAGGGCAGCCGCCGAATTTCAGAAATGTGGCACATCCTTTCTGTTTTTGGACCCTGACCCTGCCGATCTGCGTGAGGGGTGCCGCCGAACTTCAGAAATGTAGCAAATCCATTGTTTGTTTTTTTTCTGACCCTACGGATCTGCACTTTAAGGGTAGCTCTTTGGGAGATGTTATATAGGATCGGGAGTATAGCTCGCGCGCCGTTGCCTTCGGCTCAAGGCACGCGCGCCCTATTTGCCCGGACACTGCTGGTGTTCGCTATGTGTTGGAAAGATCATTACATCGATATTATCCTATCTTATCCGTCCACTCCCATACTGAACTACCCCAGCATGGCATTGGACGCTATCTGCCATCCGCTTCCCATGGAATCGGATGCTATTTGACTTACCATAGTCACTTCAGACTTGGTAGCGGAGCTGGCCGCACTCTCGTGTGGTCAGCTCTTGCTCTTCTTATCCTCGCGCTATCTGGCATGATCTTCGTGACCAAGTACCACCCTGCGCCACCACTCCAACTACATTTACGAGGATCAATTCAAGAGCAAGAAGCAACACGAGAGGTACGACGTCTAGACAACAACATTGGTACCATATACGCTTCATCACTACGCTACTACCAACCGCTCGGCAACGAGCCCAAAGCGCAGTACTTGAAGCAGAGGCGGGGAGACCCGCAAGATAAAGCGCCTCGAAGACTTGACAAGGCGCTACCCCAGCGCGGCAACGCGCCTGATAACCACCCATATCTTCACAGCCTTGGGCTGGTTATCTTCGCCATCGTATGGTTTGCGCTGGGGGCAACAATCGGACACATTCGCCGAGGAGACAACAGCACCGATGGGCAAACACATGGCCCATACTGGGACCCTCAAGGCAACGTACCTTTCCGCGAGTACGTTTATGAGGTCAACGCGTGGCTCAACGTCACAAGCGGGCGCATGACGCCACAGGCCCATGCAGCCGCCATACAACGCGGCCTGGGTGGCCTAGCGAGGACACTCGCCATGAGGGTACCACCTGACATTATAAACTATGGTGCGGACATCGATGGTGTCCACACCGACCCAGTAACATACATTATGTTCCTCTTAAGCATGAAGTTCGAACGCTTGGAAGATGAGCGCCAGCTCACTTCAGGCACACAGCTCATCGACTTTCATGTGCCTCACGGAGAACGAATCGATGTAACCCTCACTCGGTTCGAGATGGCCCGTCTTGAGGCACAGTCGGTGGGGTTTGACCTTCCCAACTTCCAACTGCTTACTACTATCCGATTCCGCGCCCTAGGCGTCGGCAACCAGAGAGCCATGCAACTCTTGCAGCCACTCAACCACCAAATGCCCCGAACACAACAACAGTATGATGAGTTGTGCGAGAGGATGCGCTCGATAGGCCATTTGTCAGAACGGTCTCCTGGCAACATAGGATCAGTGTTTGGAAGGGGAAGGGGAACTGGTAGTGGAAATTTCTATACTACCTTAACCACCGAAGCTCAGCCTGGCAACGGGCCCTCAAGCATATGGGCCGACGATCCTGGAGAGTCTACTGCCCTACTAACAGGGGATCGATCACAACCAAGCTGGGCAACCAGCCCCCCTCCTAGAGAACCTCAACCACACCGTTCCTTATGGGGCGAAGCGAACCCCCTAAACGACGGTGTATCCACCTACCTGGGAAATGACGATTTCGACTCCGGCACCGACACCGACACCATACTATCAGATGGTATTGAACCTTTAGACTGGTCAGATATCATGCAAATGGAAGGTGGCAACCAGCGTGCCGAACACCTGTTCTGGTTATTACAACAGGCAAAGCGGAGGTGGAGGAGGTTCACACGAAAACCAGTGCGTCGGGTTAGGAGGAGGATACTGAGGAGCTCCACAGGAAAAGGTACAGGCAAACGGGGCCGCCGCAAGTTGAATGGGCGAGGCATCGCGGCCTTCCTCCAGAGGCTCTCATACGATCAGTATGATGATATATTTTTTCGGGGGGAAAGGCCGTGGTAAAGGCCGCAGAGATACCTCAGGAAAAGGTATAGGTAGGCGGGGGAACCCGCGAGGTAGAGACGGCCAGATCCTAAAGTGCCATGAGTGTGATGGTACCGATCATCTCGTAAAAGATTGTCCGGCGAAGGGAAATGGAAAGGGCAGATCGACCGAAGTCCACTTCGGCTCAAGTGAACCAGTTATTGAATATCTGAGCCTCCAAGATTTTGAGGCCATGGAACAGACATTTTTCACTTGGGCCAGCAGCATGGACAATTTGGATGAGCTCGAGGCGCACGGCCACGGACTGTACGCGTACTACCTCGAGTACCTCCGCAGATGTGTTCTCGGAAGTATCGAGCTTACGCCTGACGAGAATGGTACGCTGGGAAACCAGCCCTTATCTTTCTGCGACTGGATGTTCGGTAACCCAGGCAACATCATGGCCTACGAGAGCAGTGACGAGGACGTCACTGTAGAGGCCTCGCCTTCGGTGGTTGACCACAACCTTCGACATCAACCCGACCTTATGCTTGGAAACAGGCCCACTCCAGTAGATCATCCAAACTATGCCGACCTGATGGAACTAGAATCTCAAGCATTCACTACGGGCGTGCCAGGGGACCCATATGTACCACCTGGCTCGCCTGCCCCAGGCGAGTACGGACCGCGCACGATACTGCAGACCCTCATGCAGATGCACGCTGTATTGGTCGTATCACATCCCGAGTCAAGAGAGTGTCGAGAGTGGCCACATGATGCTACAAGACACCGATGCCTGTGACGACTCGGAGTTAGCGCTGGCGGCCCTCACTCTTATTGATAGCGTGCACCCTGAGGACGTGCAGCGACATGCGTGGAGAGGGAGATGGCGCCAAGCCCTTGAAAGGGCCATCTCCATGCGCGGCCAGGCTCTCCCTCCGCCGGGATGGGGTCTCCAGGCGGCGGGGCTACAGCCTAACCACACGGCCATGCGAAATATTTTCGGGCAGCCTACGCTTGGTAACGAGCCTGAGCCGACTACCGCACCGCCGACTCCGGGACAGCCAAGCGATGCTCAGACGCTTGTACAGCAGGGAAACCCGCCCGTCCCGGCTGAACCGATGACCGTCGTCATCGGCAGCCCTATGTCAGAAGATGAAGAAGGTGATGGATGTGGGATGTGCGAGGACGCGGCCACCATCCTCATGATGGAAGCCAATGGGGAAGACGAGGAGGTGGATTTCAGCCCCGACCGTCCAGACACACCACCGCCTGCACAAGAACCAATTGTGCCAGACTCCAGTCAGCGGGGAGACCTGCCTGTCCAAGATGTGCCGCCTGCGGCCCCGCAGGAACCCCTGCCGGCTCCTGTTCAGGCTGCGTCGGCGGCTTCATCTGATGAGCGCGCCAGGAGGTCTCGCTTCCATCCACGCCTTAGGGAAGAACCTCACCCGCAAGCACGGCCCCCCCCGCGAATGGAGGCAAGCAGGCCCAACAGAGCATGCCGCTCGGCGGGGGGGTCAGTTGCTCGCCTACAATGACCCTAGGCGTCAGACGGGTGAGCATTCTACCCAGCCTACAGAGATGCCCAAGGCAGGTCCATACGAGGTGGCCACCAGATCGCGACGAATATTCGTCGTCCTGAGATAGAAGCAGTACGGGCGCAGCTGCGGGATGTCATTGCAGCACGCAAACTATACAGACCCAACGCAGTCTGTGGGCCGTGCTCAGAGCCATTTCAGGAGCATAGGCCTGGGTGTCCCGCGGAGCTCAACGAGGGCTTGAGCCCGAATAGAGGCCGCACTCCTGCCAAGGAGGGTCATCCACCGTTGGCTCCGATGACTCAAGCAGAGATCGACGAGATCAACCGTCGTCTCGGAACAACGGCTCATAGGAGCCCGATGGCCGAGGAGGTCCAGCCTCCGAGGGGACTTGTGCCTATGACTCAGGAAGAGAAAGATGCGCTTAATCGCCTTCCTGGAATGCGGGGAAACCCGCCTGGCGTCTCCAGTCAGGCCCAACAGCCAGACATGATGGATGAAGATGAACAGAAGGTACAGCGAGCCGCAGCAGATGCGGAGCGCAAACGGATAGCAGACGAACGCGCCCGCGAGGCAACTCGCCAAATGCTGCTGGAGTCCCAAAAGATCTATATGAAGGGGGCAAGGAAGACCCCACTCCAACCGAAGGCCAAAAGCGAAACACCTGCACCTAGGACGCCTTCGGGGGAGAAACAGAAAACGTCGGCCCGCTCAGAGGAACTCGGGTTAGATGTGCAGATGGAGATTCCTCGC